TTATTATTAATAATAATAATAATAATAATAATAATAAAACTAATAATAATAATAATAATAATATTAACAAATACTACAACAATAATAATACGAAGTCATTATTTTTATTATTTATTTTATTTGTATTTGATAAATAGATTAACTTAAAAAAAATTTCTAATTAATTTTTTGATCAATATCACATTTATAAAAATATAGTTCGACACTATCAACTTCAGGCTCTGAATTCAGAATAGATGAGCTCTATTTCATGCATAAACTGTATTATTAAACGCTGATATATTTCACCAATAACAAAACACATTCAAATCCAAACCCTGGCCCCTCGTTGATCTAACAATAAATAATTTTTACTCAGTTTACCTCTCCCCCTCACTTTCCCCATAACATTACAATCTGAAACAAGTGTCGGCCTCCCTTTACTGTGAATAATCCTCACACCTTCATTCCACAGGCCCACTCCCGAATAAAACAGTGCAGCGAAGATTGCATTGTAATTTCACTGAAAGCCATTACCGCTCTGTATCGGCTCCTGGGAAGAGGCAGAAAAGGAAAGCGAGGAAAAAAATAAGACTCCTCAGATTAGATTGTGTGTTTCTGAGACTGTCTCTTTGGTGCCAGGTCAGAAATGGCGGTGTTGAAACAGTAGCGTAATGCACTATCGGCGAGCTAACGTGATGGAGAAGTATTAGCGTCGGGCAGGATTGTGTTTGCTAACAGCTCATTTCTCCTACTAAATTATTCAGGCTTGAGAAAGTCGGGCCTGTTCACTTGCTTTGCGCTTTGGCTATATTTTACATGCAAGTCATTGGGAGAGCATGCATGCATTATTTACTTTGTGTTGGTCCCTGCAGAAATGTGAATGTGTGTGTGTATGAGGCTGTCATGTGAGATATTTTTCAACTTTAACTTGTTTGCGGGTGGTTTAAACTAGAGGATGCTTAATGGTATGCGACACTAATGTTGATATTTCTGTGAAATCTGGAAAATGGATTTAGGATTTCATAACATTATTGAGTATTGAGTATTAACTATATATATATATATATATATATTTTTTTTTTGTGCTAATATCTGAAAATGATCATAAGGAAAGTTCATAGTTTATCCCAGATGTGCTGTACTGTAGGTGATTTTAGACATTATTTATTTATTTATTTATTATAGCTTTTGGTGATTTATAAAATTCACCTAGAATTACTTTAAGCTAATTTTCTACTGAATACATTTTTTTTTCTGTACAGTTGTAAAATCTAAAGTAATGTACATTTACTTGAGAAGCAAAGTTGCTGGATGCATTAGACTTTTTTTAAAATAATTGTCAATAATAATGATAATAATAATAATACTAATATTACTAATAATAATAATACATTTTATTTGTAATGCGCTTTTCTTAAACTCAAAGTGCTAAGTTAAGCATGTTTTCAGAAAAAAATATAAAATAAAATAAATTGTAAATAAAAGAAGGGGAAAAATGATATTTATTCAAAATAAAATAATATTTTCAGATAGGATATGACTTTTCTGTATTATATAAGCTAGTCTTACTTTTTGTTTAAATGCTTGACTATATAATATTTTTTATTAAATACTTGATATGATTTAATAAACATGTGATGTTTTAATGTAATTTAATTTAATTATTTATAAACATTTGTTATGAAAAATAATATTATATTATATTATATTATATTATATTATATTATATTATATTATATTATATTATATTATATTAATTATATTATATTATATTATATTATATTTAAATTAAATTGGCAATTCATTCCACTGTGGCAACCCCTGTTTAAATATATAACTATATATTATATTTCATTAAATGCATGATGTACTATATTAAATATGTGATTTTTTTTTGTTTATTTAGTTGGTTAAAAATAAATAAATTAATTACTTAATTAATGAATTAATAAACATTTACTAAAATATTACAATGTATTGAATATTCAAATAATTTTGCACGTATTAGTTATTTAGTTATTCTTTGTACCTAACTTTGGATTGGTTTAATAAAAACACAAAATAATAAATAAATAAATAAATAAATAAATAAATAAATAAATAAATAAATAAATAAATAAATAAATAAATTATAATAAACAAATACATAAAAGTGTATTAATACATTTATTACATTTTAAAATAATTATATTTTATTGTATTTTATTATGTTATATTATATTATATTATATTATATTATATTATATTATATTATATTATATTATATTATATTATATTATATTATATTATATTATAAACAAACAAACATATATACAAATGAATGAATGAATGAATAAATGAATGAATGAATGAATGAATGAATGAATGAATGAATGAATGAATGAATGAATGAATGAATGAACATTTTCTTGAAAATAATACTGTTATTATTAAAATAAATCTGTTAAATATTTAAATTAATTTGCAGATATTGGTTATTTAGTTATTCTTTGTATATAACTTTGGTTATTCTTACTTTGGTTTAAAAATTACTTAATCAATTGAAAATTATCTTTCCTCCATTTGCTTTTCAAATAAGAGAAATGTTCTTGACATGTTTTTGACAAATGTGGCAAAAACATGCTTGTGTAGAAAATCTATACTTGTATTTTTTGTTTGCAGTAAAATGAGTTGACCTTGAGAAACCTCGTCAATCTGATTTGTGATGAAATCCTCCAGGCTGATAAAAAGGAGAAAATCTAACTCAAAGCAAGCACCAACTCTCCAAAACAGCAGATATTAACATTTTCAGTACACTTCACAACTTTGGGTCATCACTTTTTTGCCTTTTCTGCATACGCATCTTTTTATACAGCTTGAAATAGCGCTTGAGATTGATCGCTGAATGACGCTTGTCAGTTATTTTGAAAGAATCAGGCCAGGATATTCTTCAGAAACAGAGAAAGTGGCAGGGTTTAGAGCGACGTGAGGGTGAGTAAATGATGACATAAGTGATATTTTTAGACGAACTCTTCTCTCTGAGGCTTAAATAGCAAAATATGTGATTGTGAGTATGTTAAAGAACGGTGTGTTCCCACTCACGGGCTCAATGAGAGAGAACTGGTGGGTGAGACATTGGGCCACAGGCAGATTCTGATGCTCAAATAGACATCGCTCTAGAGAAAAAAACGACAGGTGGAGGAAAAAATATAGATGGCAGAAAAGAGAAGACACGGTCGCTGAGATAAAAACAGAGGTTGAGGTGAATGGAGAGATCCAGACTTCTGGGAAAAAAAATAAAAAAAATAAAAAAACACACAGTAAAGTGATGTCAGTCCTCTAGAAACTGTCCATTAGGTGGCCAGTGCAAGAAGACTGAGAACTGGAGACAGGAAGTTAATTTTGTAGAGAAGACACAAAGAACTAATACGTATAAATAAAATTAGTTGTATTTGACTAATGAAATAGGATTTATTTATTTATTTATTTATTTATTTATTTATTTATTTATTTATTTATTTATTTATTTATTTCATTTTGAATAAAATGAATGAAAGAGTAAATGAATGAATGTTGTTCATTTTATAATGATTTAATGTACTATTTTTAATTGTAACCCCAAAATATTGTTTTACGTTAATAAATAATTAAATATATTAAATATTTTTGTAATGTCTTTTTCATAATAATAATAATAATAATAATAATAATAATAATAATAATTATTATTATTATTATTATTAGTAGTAGTAGTAGTAGTAGTAGTAGTAGTAGTAGCAGTAGTAGTAGTAGTAGTAGGATTTTTAGTATTTATTTATTTATTTATTTATTTTAAATAATAATAATAATAATGATGATAATAATAATAAATTAATACATATTAGCTTTATAAACCCTTTTGTCTTAATTGTAACATTTTAAAAAATAACTATTTATTTTATATATCATTTTTTGATATTTCTTTTACTTTGTTTTATATTGTCTCTCATGTTATATTTTCTAGTTTCTATTTTACCATCTATGGTTGATTTGTGGTAAAATATAAATTATTTCCATATATATATATATATATATATATATATATATATGTTTAAACTAAACCAGTGACACAGATTTTTATTTTTTTTTTTTTTTTGTTCTTGGCAATTTTATTGTATTTTATTTTATACAATGATTTTATAATCAACATCTTGTTTTGTTTTTTGTTTTGTTTTTTGTTTTGTTTTGTTTTGTTTTGTTTTGTTTTGTTTTGTTTTGTTTTGTTTTGTCGTGTCGTGTCGTGTCGTGTCGTGTCTTGTCTTGTCTTGTCTTGTCTTGTCTTGTTTTGTTTTGTTTTGTTTTGTTTTGTTTTGTTTTGTTTTGTTTTGTTTTGTTTTGTTTTTCCTTTTCCTTTCCTTTCCTTCATAGTTTTCACCGCTCCTCCATGTAAACTTCAACAAACCTAACACTTCTTCACACTTGTACTTTTTTTTTTTTTTTTTGCTGGTTCAGAAACTAAATGTTTGTATTCAACACATCATTTAATAGAGATCCTGCCTCCACCGTCCACACTTATGTCTACATTGCAAGGCTATAAATATCATTAGCCGATGTAAACAAATGAGCGTGTGCTGTGGATCAGTTGTCATTGTTATGCCCAGGGGTAGCAGGATGCTGTTAGTTTTGCCGTCTGAGGAATAAGGCAGAATTACTCAGCATATGCTCAGCAGATTGTGTTTGTCTTACTGAGCTTTTCTGCTCAACGCCGAGGATCAGGGAAATATAAATAGCCAGGAGCAAAAAAAAAAGTATGGAACACTCACAATGATATAATTTGAAGTTCTCTGAGTTCAGTCGAGGTCCACAAATTCCAATTTAGATTCATTTTGCTGCTGAATGCACTCATTTTTTGCTGGGTCGCAAACTGAGGGTCTACACACACACACACACACACACACACACACACACACACACACACACACACACACACACACACACACAATAGAAAGAAACAAAACATCTCCTGAATGGCATATTGAGAGTGTTGCTTCTATTTCCAGATCCACGGATTATGGCAGCACTTATGAGAGGCTGAATGATAAAGTGGGAGTGAAGACGGTGTTGAGTTACCTCTATGTTTGCCCCACCAACAAGAGGAAGGTAAGATGCCCTTTTATTCCCTTAGCTCAGAGTTATTTTTTAGTATTGTTATATATTTTTTTTAATTCTGCTTTCGAGAAGCCTATAAAAATATCATATAACAACAACCTGTCAGCTTTATTTTATTTTATTTTATTTTATTTTATTTTATTTTATTTTATTTTATTTTATTTTATTTTATTCGTAAAAATATCAGAATATCAGAACCTATTTTATATTATTTTATAAAACCATCATATAACACATGAACAATGTTTTATTTATTTTTTTATTTTATTTTAACACAATAAATGTAATGCAATTATTGTAATGTAATTAACATTAAATTAACTTTAATTATTTTAATTAAATTAAATAAATTGTATTTTAATATATCATATGACAACCTAAGCAACCTTTTATTTTATATTATTTTACTATAAAGTATGTCATTTACTTATTTTTATATTATATATTTATGTCGTCGGAATTTATAAGTATATTTTATTTTAATCAATTTTATTTTAGTTAGTTTTATTTTATTTTATTTTATTTTATTTTATTTTATTTTATTTTATTTTATTTTATTTTATTTTATTTTATTTTATTTTATTTTATTTTATTTTATTTTATTAAAAACGGCCGCAGCTTCCAGTTCATGCATTTCTTGTTAATACAATGACCCATTAGAACTGATGCATGATCTCAATCAAAAATCTTTCAGTATTTATTTACCTCTTATTTTGCGATCATTTACTCAACAAGTGGACTCTCACAGCATCTGAAGCTACTGCTAGAGTTTAGCAGCTCTGTAAACAAAACAGATTAATGCATCAGATTAATTCCCTGACTATATGTAGGCAAACTCTTCCGTTCCAGAGAAAAGAATTGACTCTGGCAGATCCCATGGCTATTTTGAAAACAGGGCTAAGTTTAGGCCTAACCTTTAGCACAACACTTTTCCATTTGAGAGATGGCTATGACATTTCCGCAGCTCTGCCGGAGCTCTTCGCCGAGAACTTGCCAGGAATCCAAAGTGCCTCCTTTAGCGCTCTCGATGGAGGCCAGATTACATGCTGATGCGGAGATCGCCCACAAATGAGCCTGTTTATATTTTCCACCACCGTCTTTTATTCTAAAACGCAGCTGATTGGCCGTGGCGTGATTAATTCGAGACCGTCTGTCCTTTTCCTGCTGTTTACACCGTGCTAGTCTCGCAACTTGTGGTTACGTGCGGCCGTGAACTGTGCTCTGCATGTAGATTAGTGCGCGGGATGCTAGGCGCCTGGGTGCCGACAGATAACAGAGATCCCTCAACCCCTATTGATCGCACTTTGCAGCTCTCCTCGCTGCTTTGTTCGGCTGAGAAACGTTTGTTCACAGTTGTCATGTTCTAGTGGCTTGAAAACTTAATTATCCGCTAATGCGCCGTCAGTGTCGGCTTGACCTCAGATTTGTGGTGACCGGCTGTACAGACCAATTGTGACCTGTAGGCCATATTTACGAGCGGTTTAAAGATGGTCAGTGCTGGACAATACACAAATCAAGACCTTGAGTAAAAGCACAGGTATAACATGACTTCAGTGCATTTATTTGTATTATATGTCTGTTGCTCCTTTTCGATTTCACCGCTACCAAAAGCACAATATAAATATATAAAAAAAACAGGAATATAATTAAATATGCATAATTATATGCATATATAATTCTAACCATAACCATATAATCAGTACATGTAATTAATATCACTTAATAATTAAGTGAATAGTTAGACTGTAACAAGGCCACATCAAAATACATTGTAACCTTGCTTATTTATTCAAAGTAAACTACTTATTGATGAATGTTTGTTTATTTTTGAAATCAAGTATTAGATTTACCAAAACCTTTACTAAAAACATAATTGTACCCAAAATGAGTAATAAATAGATTACAAATAGGCAACCATAGATACCACTCCAATAATAATTATTCACAGTTTTGTACTTTTATTGTAGTGTACAGATGATTAATGATATTTCAAGTGTGCAAATAAGTCAGATTAATCAAATATTCTATTTAGCCTAGGGCACAAAATATCATTGCAATCAATAAACCATGTACTGGATATTCACTGTGACTGGATCACTACTGAACTCTGTACTGGAGATTTGCTCTGACTGAATCATTTGAATCACTGAACTCTTAACTAAAAATTTGCTCTGGCTGAATCAGTAGAATCACTGAACTCTGAACTGGAGATTTTCTATGACCAAATCATTTGAATTTCTGAACGCTAAACTGGAGATTTGCTCTAACTTAATCATCTTAATCATTGAACTCTTAACTAAAGATTTACTATGACTGAATGATATAAATCTTTAAACTCTAAGATTCATCTAAAGGAATCATTTGAATCACTTAACTCATAACTGAAAACTTGCTCTGACCGAATCATTTGAATCACTGTACTCATAACAGGAGATTTGCGCTCACTAAATCATTTGAATTACTGAACTCATAAGTGGAAATTTGCTATGACTAAATCATTTGAATCACTGTACTTGTAACAGGAGATTTTCTCTGACTGAATCATTAGATTCACTGAACTTAAAACTGAAGATTTGGTTAGACGGAATCATTTAAATCACTAAACTCATAAATGGAGAAAAAAATATGATACTTCGCTTTAAACTGTAGTGAATTCAAAGTTGATATACTTAAATAGAATACATTGAAGTCCAGTAAAAATACTTTCTTTTTTAAAACACACATAGACACGGACACACACACACACACACACACACACACACACACACACACACACACACACACACACACACACACACACACACACACACACACACACACACACACACACACCCATATTCATATATTACATCAGTAAAGGGTGAAAATTCTCCCCCTTAATTTAATCTCCGGGGTAATATGGGAATTGACTGCACAAGCATGTAGCGCTTAGCTCTGGGAGACCTTTGTCAAGTAAAATCACCCAGAATGTTTAATACACCCACATAAAATTAATAGCATCTATTGGCTCCATTAACATTAGTATCTATGGGAAATGTTTTATATATAGCAACAGTTACTGTATGTATAGCAGCAGTTCTCAGCCTTTACACATTTCACCGGTCGAATGCTTTTTTTCCAAAGTCAAGTAAATCTTTTAATAATATGTGTTTGGTTAATATAATAAGCCAGCGGAATGAATGGGAAATATTTATCATGTTCATTTGGCTTTTAATTGGTTTAGCTTATATTAATGCTTGGTATTTCCCTTGATCTCCACTGATTTATCCTTATTTTAATGTCTCTTTGAATAATTAATAAATGTAGCATGATTTATAACATTTAGTTTCCAGCATACATTGTTGTAAATATGTGTTTTATAGCACACCTAAATGTGTTTTCTTTTAATTCTGTATTTGATATGTAAAAAATGTTTAATTGTGAAATATTATTTTCATTTTAAATGACTAATTTCTTATTAAATTAAGTTTAACTTTAATTGAATTTTGTGAATTTTAAGCTGGGGTTAAAGAATTCAGAGTTGACGTTCAGTTTAGTTCAGTTCAGTTTCATTTAATTTTCACTGATGAAAGGCCAAACACTAAAGAGCAAATCCATTGATGCGCAGCTCCACAAGTGCCAAACCAAGCAAGCCAGGAATATGATTGATTATTAGTAGTACATAAGTAAGAATGATTCTTGTAATCATCCATATTTTTTCAGCTTCATATTTTGTGAGAAGTGTGAAAATCTTTGTTAATGATTTATTGATTGATATAAAGCAAGTCATGTTTTGTATGTTTCGAAAAAGAGAAAAAGAAAAAAAAACTGAAGCAACCCTATACAGTTTTCAACACTGATGATAATAATACATGTTTCATTGAATTACTATTTTGAATGATCATGTGACAATGAAGATTAGAGAAACAATGCTGAACATCCAGATTCAGTCATTGGAATATATCAATATTTAAACTACTTTTAAGAAGAAAAAAAAAAATTATCAAAGAAATGTTGCATTGGTAAGCAGACTTTTATTTTTTATTATTATGGTGAGCAGTGTTTTATTTATTATTATTATTATTATTATTATTATTATTATTAAATAAGATTATAATTGACATAATAAATATTTTAAGAGTGTATTAATATCTCCAGATCTGGTAATATTTTGTTTATCCCCTTTTTCATGGGAAAAAAAGGCAGTTTAGGGACTTAATAAAATAAGAAATATGAATCATTTCAATAACATAATCTGTGTTTAATTAAGTAATTTTTTTATTTTCAATTATTTGGAGGACCCTGGAGTGAAAATCACACTCAAAACATTACTTTTACTGCTTGTTTAAACTACTTGCTTGTTAAAAAAACACAATTCTTATATTTTTTTGAGACAACTTAATTGTTTTATGTTCAATCCACTTACATTTGTAGAAACAATAAGGTTAGCTGAATTGTGTGGAACTCAGCATTTTTTTACAGTGTTGTACTTGTGCAGCTAATTAAAATGTGCTGCAAACAAACAAACAAACAATCAAACAAACAAACAAAACAATAAATAAATAGTTAATTAATTAATAAGGCATAGCATGATCGCCTCACAGCAAAAAGGTTGCTGGTTCAAGCCTCCTCCGAGTCAGATGGCATTTCTGTGTGAGTTTGCATGTTCTCCCCATGTTGGTGTGAGATTTCTCCTAGTTCTCCGGTTTCCCCACAGTCCAAAGACATGCTCTATAAGTTAATTGGGTAAGCTAAATTGACCATAGTGTATGTGTGTGAATGGGTGTGTATGGATGTTTCCCAGTCTTGGGTTGCAGCTGGAAAGGCATCCGCTGCATAAAACATATGCTGGATAAGTTGGCCGTTCATTCCGCCGTGACAACGAAAGAAAGTCGAAAAAAAATGAATGAATGAATGAATGAATGAATGAATAAATGGATAAATGAATGAATGAATAAATAAATTAATAAATGAATAAATGAATAAATGAATAGATGAATAAATAATCACTGTAATGTTCTTAAGGAAACCAAAAATTCCTTTAAAAAAATTATTTTAGATCCTTTATTTTCAAAAGTGTGCAAGATGTTTTCTTCATGAACATCAATTCAACTTTTATTTTATATATTTATGCACATTTTAAAGAAAAGCCTTGACAAAGTATCTAATCAAAGTCATTTCCCGTTGCCAACTAACCAACACTTAACGCAATATTACGGAAAATGATTAGAACCCAAAATCCACAAATTGGATTTGACAAGTCCCTAAGACACGGGCAGACACGAGGGGCCTCTTTCCATCTTCTTATAACGATAATGAACAGTAAAAAATCGAGGGTCCCGGGCCAACAAAATCCTTGGCTGCTTTCGACTGGCTGTTTATTGGCGCTTAATGAAAAACAATTTATCTAAATCACCGCCCCGGAGGATTCGTAGTTAAAGCCTCGTTGAGAGAGGGGTGGGATTTCTGTCAGTGACAAATGCACCGCTTGTTTTTTTTTCCAATTCAAATCCAGTTAAAGGAAGAAAACAGCCGTTCACATTTAGGGCGGATGGAGACGAGAGAGAAAGAGGTGTTGGAGGTTTCGCTTTGCTAAATATGATCACGTCTGGATGTCAACCATAAGCGCGCACGCTGAAATTAACATCCACCGAGATGCTTTAGAGCCACTTAAACTTCCAAAACATATGCGTCATACTTTTTTTTTGAAAGCTCTAAAAACTCATAATGGAAATGTGCGCGAGTGTTTTTAGACTGGCATTCAGGTGCGAGCTCATTTAGCGAGCAGGCAGATGTACTCACTCTTTAATTATCACGCAGATCAGATGCAGCCGCCCAGTCAAACGCAGACATAAAAAGAAATGCTTTCCATAATGCTGCATATTCCAAGAGTTTTTTGCATTGGTGATTTAATTAAGCAGTCCGGCCAGGCATGGAGTTGCCTTTGTGCATGTGTAGTAGAGGAGCGTGAAACAAAGCCAAGGTCCATGTTAAAGAGGGACTAGTTAGCTCATTGTTCTTATTAGATTGAAATATGGTCAACCTTGACCTAGCATAAGCTTTAATTGGTGGTCTAAAGGCCTTCAGAAAAGACAGAATTCACCTAAAATTAGTTGGAAGAAAGAAATAGTGTGTGTGTGTGTGTGTGTGTGTGTGTGTGTGTGTGTGTGTGTGTGTGTGTGTGTGTGTGTGTGTGTGTGTGTGTGTGTGTGTGTGTGAAATATTATTTTAAATGTGTTTTATATACGGCCGCAGGAGGGCAGACATTAGAAAGTTCCATGAAATTGTATATATACATTTAAGCATTTAAATGTCATCTTCATTAGATATGATACTCATGTGAATTGTGTATGTAAGTGGTTTCTTATACTATTAAAATATTTCATTTACAGAGGGGGAAATATGTATTCAACTTGTCAGAAAACATATTTCTAAAGGTGCTGTTGACTTAAAATTTTCACCAGATGATGGTAACAACTAAAGAAATCCATATATTTAAAAAAACGAAAGAAGTCAACCCAAGCTCATTCTAGAAACGTAGCCCCGCTGACGTTTCTGGAGATTGCAATTTACATGGCCGGAGGTACGTACGGCCTCGTTTAGTTTTTCTGGAGCGAGTGTGCGGTGTGGCACTGCTCCGCTCCTCCTCTTCGCGTTCGCCAGCCGACGGCTCGCCTCCGAGTGGTGGGCTTTCCCGATGCAACCAGTTTGTCCGCTTAGCTCGCAGCGTTATGTCGGCGGAGCGGAGGCCCGGAGCAGGAGAAGCCGGCTGCGGAGACGACCGGGATTGAGTCCGGGTAACAGCGGTTCCAGAAATCAGGTAAGATGAAAAACAGAATCCAAAAAATAAGGGCAAGAACGCGACGGGATCCGAAAACGCGGTTGAAATCAAAGACGAGGGTTTTTGCTTTTTTTTTTTCTTTCTGGACGGCTTTTGCAAACCGTCGCTTGGGTTTAGAGAAGGAGGAAGAGGACCGTTCGGTCGTTCAGCCAGCCAGTCGGACGGACGGTCGCTCCACAGCGGCCTCCGGCGGCTTTTCGCGCGAGAACAGCGCGGGCGCGAACGGCGCGCGGTCCCGAGAGGCGCCCGAGACGTGAGAAAGCACGCACAACGGCCTCTCGCGGATCTGCGAAAACAAAAACTGCTCGAATACGTACCTCCCGGAATGTATTTCGCAGTCCGCAGAAACGTCCGCGGGGCTACGTTTCCACAATGAGCCCTGGTTGAAAGAAGTTGTGTGATAAAATTAAGTGGAACAGGGATAAGTATTGAACACATGAAGAAAGGAAGGTGCAGAAAGTCAATGAAAGCCCAGACAGCAGCTGAAATCTCTCAGGTGTTCTTCAGCAACCCTCTGCCCTTCGTCAATGTAAATTAATATTAGCTGCTTCAGTCCAACTGCGTCGCATGGTCTAACATGGTTGTGCTTATTCTCTTCATGAGTTATGGGTTTGTTTTGAGAATAAACGAATCAGAGTCTCATCTTCCATTCCTTTTAAGAGTCAGTTGCGTCGCGCCATGACGCATTTGCAATTTACATGGCGGACTGTTTAAAAAAGTTAAACAGGCCATATGTAGCACGAGAATGATAGAATGAGCCCCCTCATTCTTTACTTTCACTTTCACTCTCTTTCGTGGATAAGGAGACGCTTTGTATGCACAGACATCCATTAGTCTACAAAAATATTTTCATTAGCTAAGCGCAAAAAATTTGATAAAAACTATTTCTAAATTCAGTTCTAATTTCTTGCAAAAGAATAAATGAACAACCATAATGAAGTGTGGTCAAATAACTGAGTTACAAATACACATGCTGAGCCCCTTATGGTCTAAAGCCTGAAATGTAGACAAATCTAAGCTTGTTTTTAATAAAAAAAAATATAAATCTGCATATAATAATAATAATAATAATAACAATAATAATAATAATAATATACAAAAGGTAATTGTCATGAATAAACTGAAAAAGCCCCCCGAGATGAAGAAAACATGAAAGCAGTATTTTTTATATTTATGTAGAAAGTGTTATTTAAAAAAATATTTTAATCCTGAAATTATTATCATATGTAAAGATATTTGCATATTGTTGTACATCCTGTGTGTTTTAATCAATGTTCAAGCGAGGTGCACAACTAACGTGCTCTGCGCTGGACTTTAGACCTCCTTTTAGCTGGTCTATTGTGAAGTCTATTTTTGTTCCTCAAAATGGCAACGCACCAGCAATGCGCCTTAACACACCTCTTTTTTTAGACCAGAACTTCTATGGGTGAACATATATGAGCGCAAATGCATATTTGCTATTTAAACAGCGTGGTGCAAAACGTCACTTGCGTCAAGCTGAAACTAGCAAATAACAATTGCGTCACGCCTTGCGCCGCATTGTACCGGGTGTATCATATGGCCCAGGGACTTTGTTATTTGCTTTGTAAATGACAATTGGCTACATTAATTAATTTTAAACTTTAACAGATCCCTATTTTTTTTCTTCTAAAAATATATATTGTAATAAATTAGTATTTATTCATATTTATTTATTCTAGATTTTTTATATATTTACATTACAAAGAGTATAATAATACAATAGAGTAAAATAATGCTTAAAAATTCATTAAATGCAGTATTTAAATAGCATAATTAAATAGAAAATGAGGTGAATAACTGCAAAGAAAGGTCCACTTTTTAGGAAAGAAGAACCACCCCTTTCACCAGGCTGGCTACGGGCCTGATACAATGATTTGCCTAATTACCATAACTTGCCTAGTTAGCTTAATTAACCTAGTAAAGACTTTAAATTACATTTTAAGCTGAACACCAGTGTCTTGAAAAATATCTAGTAAAATTGTATGTATCGTCATCATGTCAAAGTTATTAGAAATGAGTTATTATGTGTAGAAATGTGATGAAAAAATCTGTGAAAAAAAAATAAAAATAATATATATATATATATATATA